AAAGAAGTAACAGCTAAAAGGTGCTTATGTAAGGAATTAGTTTTGCATTTAAGAAATTGGGGGGGGAAAAGCTAATGTATTGCTTTTCATAGTGACTGGGCACAACTTGGTTCTGTGGACTTCTGCAGAACCAACTGTGAAACAAATGAGAAGATACTCTTAGAAAATGTGTACAAAACTGAGAACAGGAGTCGCTTTTTTACACAAAGGGTTGTTAGAGTCTGGAACAAGCTGCCCAGTCATGTTGAAGCTGATACCCCGCCTAAATTCAAGACACAGCTGGATGACAAGGGCAAAATGGCTAATTTCTAATCATTCCTATCCTTAAAAACACAAAATGAGGTGTCCAAGTACAGTGTTACATAACGTTTGACTTTTGTACTGTAAGGTTAGTCTGCACATGAGAGTTTTCTTGATTGTTTTTCCTGAAACGGAATGTGGTGTGTGTTTACTCTGAGAGCAAGGCATTACCAACCTAGGATTGGATGACACTTAGAATTCTACTCCACAAGCCACTTTGTGTAACTTTCTACCTGAATTATTTAGAAAATGTTTGTTTTTATTATTCCCTGGACTGTATAAGCTCATAGCAGAATAAATGCCGTTACAAGCTCAGTGCAAGGTAATTTGTGTTGAAAGCTTATCTCCTGATGTATAGCTCCATTTTGAACTGTTGATGTAGTTCCATGCAAAAGATTAGACCTCATCTCTGCTTGATTGCAGTGTCCCCCTTCAACCCCCACACCCCCCGTACTGCTTCCTAAGTCAATTACTGCAGCCTTCTTGGCATGACTTGTGCCCACTCAGCTCCACTTAACTCCAGGGTCTCTCTTATCTGATTTCATCTCTCTCTGGAGCTCCCACAGAAGCTGCTGATCGAGGGGGGGGAGTGAATGCATTCCTCTTCAATTTCCATATCAGTTGGCCAGGGGTGATCTCGTTTAATCACAAGTAGTTCAGTTTAACCCTGTTACCATGTGTGATAATAAGATTTGAGCTTTCTTGAAATACCTCACCATCATGCAAGGAAGGTCCAGTTCCAGTCCTCAGGAGCAGCAGTTCTCCTGGTCTCAGCCCCGTGTCTTAATTATTTACTTATCTAACCACAAAGAAAAGCAGAGGGACTCCATTTGGATAACTGAATGTTTAGATTAACCTCAGATGAATTGCAGGCTTAATTTGAATCCCAAATTCTCATTCTCGACTCGCGCGGGGAGTAGTGATGGTTCATGCCACTCCAGTGATTTGGTTTCGTCTCGCTGGACTGGTTTCGTCCAGCATGAGTGTTTGATACACTGCACACTAAAGCACCTGCTAATACCTGTGCCCACTCAGCCATGTTTGACTTCTGATGAGGAAGGGAAATCAATTTCACCCACTGATTATATTGGAGCTTGGTTGCATCTCATGTTACTGAACTTATTTTAAAAAAAAATAATATGCTGTCTGAATCATTTCCACAGTATATTGGTTCAGCCTGGGGTGCAATTTCTTTATTGGAAAAGTAAGTTTGAAAGTTTTTCTAATGGTATTACATATATCACCACCAGCTCATGGTGATGTCGTTAGGCGGCTGCTAGACAGACTGCTGGTGGAATTTCGTCTTCGTTTAGGAATGATTGAATTTAACATTGGTCACCGTGGAAAAAATGAAGCAAGTGGTGCCTGCTTCTCTGTACTGTATAAAGATTTTTTTCAAAGTGTTGAGCTCCTTACCAGTGTTAATGCATTATTTCTTCATTTGTTTTCAGATTCATTACCATGTTTTATTTTTGTCTTCTGAACCTGTGTTTTGAGGAATTAAAAATGGAACTTAGTATGTCTACACAGCTGTACTTAAAGTCAGCACACAAGCACAGGGACAGTGACATTGCCTCTTGTTTGTAAGTGGCTTCTGTTAAATATCCAATGCAGTTTTCAGTACATTACTTTGAACATATTGTTAAACTAATGTGTAACACTTTTATTATTTACAATTTTATTTGTCTTTTTTCTCCTTTTTGTTACATATGGCTTCAAGCATTACACTCAGTCCAGGCGTTTGTAACTATGTACTCACCAGCTTCAAGGATATTCAGGTCGGTGTGTCCTGAATCTCAATAAATTACTGAAGCCAGTGGGATTTTTTGCAGTTTCCTTAAAGTCCTTCATTTACCTTATTTCTGTCTGCATATTGTTGTATTATTAATACACCACAGCCTAAGTGGATAGAAGTGTCAGTCTGAACTTTCATATACTCATATGTCCTGGCAGTTAAAAAAACAGCTGGCCAGTATTTGGGATGTTTATCTATTCGAAGCTGCATTGAGTGAGATTGTTTTCATTAGTTTTAAACCGTGCACTTGTGAAAGAAGGGACGTGGTTAACCTTTTGGGTGTGATGGTACAGTATAGTGTGATCTTAGGTGAGCAGTTATAGGAATGCAAACTCTTAATTTCCTCTTGAAACTCACTGCAGGGCTGTCCAGAGCCAGAGAAAGATGCATCAAGGCTCTCTGTATCTGAAGGCTGCATTTCTGCAGCTGATAGAAGTGCTACACCCACTGTCACCATTTTAAAAAAATATATAAATGAATTGGAAAGGGTATGCAGAGAAGAAAATGGATAAACCAGAATAATACTTTACAGACGTATGTGTAATATAGTAGTTAACATAAGAATGTGGTAGATATAATGTGTGTAAGGTACTCCCCTGATATCTTTTTGAATAATAGTTTGTTTGTGGAGATCAATAGAGCACTCATCATCAAAGGAATTAATTTTATGGTGAGCATTGTGCCTTTTTATTTGTATGTTTCACAAATGCAAAAAAGAAACATATCAAGACTATTAAAAAAATCCACATTTACTTTATTTAGGCAGCAACATTTTGACCAGCTGGTCCTAGATCTCAATTCTGATACTTCACTCTACTGTCCGGAGGGGTTTAGGGTATACAGAGAGTGGAGAATCAAAGCTTGCAAGGTTTAATGTGTAGAATAGTTCTTACTTAACTTATGCTAATAAAGTGATGCGTTCAGTAAAACAGCAGCTTCTGCCCCTTTCAACAGACTGAAATACACTCCTCAACAGGAAGTACTGGGGCACTGACAGACAGCTGCTTCCTGATCTTTAATTTTTTTTCCAGCTAATTTATAGAATACAGCCCCCTGTGGTTTGCTTGGGACGGTCCTGCGGGTGGGTTTCAAAGAAAAAAGTTTGTCAGCTCCAATACAAATTCCAGCACCAAGCCTTAAAGCACATATGGGGTAGACTGCATCAAAGGATTGAAAGTGAATGTGAGAAAAAAACATGAAGGATATTGTCCCATCTTGCACTGTAGTGTTTACTTCAGGAGATAACTGAGCATCAGCCGAGATCTCTTTCTGAATAGAATTTGCTCCTTTCAGAACATTGTTTACATTACAGCTGGCAGAGTTTATTGACCATGTGTTTTCGAAAAAGAATGCAACGAATATAAAGGCCCAAGGTATTTCAGAATGGCAGAGTCCTCCAGTGATGCAATGCTTCAAAAATTCCAAAATCATTTACTTGCAAAAGAAAAACAAAACAATAATACAGTTTTGGACTATTAAGGTTTGGTCTTAAACAGTAGGTTTTCTTGCATATATTAAAAGCTTATGCATGCATGACTTAAAGGTAAACTATTTACTACAAACTGTATTAACACTATTATTTTTCAGTAACACAACATTGTAAGATTCATTTGAACTTTTATCCTCCTTCATATACCTATTGGCTCAGATGTTCATGATAATGAAAGGCATGAAAAATGAAGGGAACACAATGTTAAGGAATAATACTGTAAATGCAAGACAATGTAATGAAGGTTTTATAATTAGGTTGAAGGTGACAGTATGAAAAATGAATTCTTATCATTCAGATACTTTAGATCAGGTATATAAAAGTAAGATTTTTCTGTCAAATATTGATTTCTGCCTTGTTATTGGAAAATGTGCTAATGGAAAAAAAATAATGCACTGTAGCCTGAAAAGAAGCTGGTCACATGGTGTGCAGTTCTGTCCTCTTTTTTAAAAATACATGTGTCCTAGTTTCTGTATTAAGATTGGAATATTAATTGAACCAGACTTATTTGACAGAAAGATGAATGATAGAACTTTCTAAAACTTGGCAGTCTCTCTGTCACTGTGCTCAGTTTGGTAGTATTAGGTTCTATTGGATATATTGATGATTTTTTCATCTGTACATCCAGGGGTAGCAGGTATTCAAAAACAAAGAACCTTTCTGCTTCCCGTGGGTTCCCACATCACTGTGTCTCTTTTTAGCTTCAGTCAGATGCTAAGTTAAGCTGTGTTAAGGTAAAAGTATGCTTGTTATATACTTTTAGACTCTTGTTATTATTCAGTAAAGTACAGCAACTAATGTAATCAAAATCTGCATTGTATTGCAGATTCGTTTCTTTTTTATCTCCTGCGTATTTTCAGTAGGAAGTTTGCATTAAAATAAAACCTTCAAAAAAACTATTTTGTGTTGGTGCTGATATTGAGAAGATAACTATTTTTACAAGGTGAATAAATTGTATTATTTTAGTAAATTTAAGCTTTAATAGTATTATGGTCAGTGTTTGAAGTTTGGTTTCATTTCTGTATTGTTACAGTAATTATTTTTTGTATTGATTTACTGAAAATGTTGAAACATTTTCAGCAGGATTTTGAAACGTGTTACTTTGCTAAACATAGAAATGTACTGCACAAATGTGTTTTATTTATTAGTGACCAATCACTTTTTCAGAATGCCATGTGTCCTGTGCGTATATGCTATTAGTAATGAAGCCGAAGACACTAGTGTTACTATTGTTGACAGCATTTCTGGAAGCCTTGCATAAAGAGCACTATTGGGTTGTAGGGCTTACAGCAGGAGATGGGCTCTCACAGATGACATTGTTTTGGCAGCTCTAGTTTTGCAGCTTTCAGTTTTGTTTGGATTTACTTGGAGCATCAGTGCAGCTTTCAGTGATTGTGCTCCTGTGTGACTTTTCAGCTGTCCCATTTCCCCCAACGGTGCGCCTGACTATGAAAGAGCTATATGAAGATGGGAAGCCCAAGGTGGAGGTGTTGAAGAGCCACTTGGTGAAGGAGGGGAGGCTGGAGGAGGACGTGGCTCTCAAGATCATCAACGAGGGGGCCGCCATTCTGCGCCAGGAGAAGACCATGATTGAAGTGGAGGCGCCCATCACAGGTACTGGAGAGGATATTGGCAGAGCTAAGTAAGGGGAGGGGTGTTCATTAGAAAGCTCATGCGTCGATTGTATGAACTCAAGATGTCAGCTTGCATCGTTGCACGTATATGCCCTTAAATGTTCTTTCATTCTGAAGTTACAGCAGAAGCCCCTCATCAACAGGGGCTGAAACTCATAACCTCCTGGTAGCAAGTTTTATTTTTTCCTGAACCACTAAACCACAGATCTAGCTTTCTTTCTAGGATAAAAGGAAAAGGAAGGATCACTTAAAATCACTTATGCACACAATTCTTATTGATGGTCACACCTCTGGTACAGGACTTAAATTATGCTTTCACGCTGCTTTGCATTAGTGACAAGCAGCTCCTTGAAGGCTATGCTAAATAACAAGAGGGAGATTTATGAGTGTTTGTAAGAATCTGAGGGAACTTCAAAGCACCTGTTCTTAACATTTTCAAGACTGCACTTATTTAGACAAGTGCTACATCTAAAAACACTGTCTAGGAGCACATTGTGTTTTGCAAGCAAAATAAAGGTTAAAGTGCTGCTTGCATGTAAATGTGATTTCTATTCACATTGGTTAAATCTAGAAAATAAAACAACTTACATTACTGAACAGACTTTTCGCTTATTTTGGCATATTCCCATTGCTGTCACTTTGACTTACACTGTTGTGGTTAGAAATTTTAAGTGATTGTTAAACTAAAACAAAAGCTTGATGAATTATCCACCTCTGTCACATTGACCCTTAAATCATAGGCTTTCAAAGGTTTATCCCTCCACTCTCACTACGTTGTGACTAAAGCATTCATACTAGATACATTTTCAGGGGGGCAGTGTTAGTGTTAAATAGACACTGTAAACTTTTAACTAGAAAAAGCTTTAAAACCATTTTGTGGGGTACATTCTGAAGGCCTGTGTAACTGAGTGCCTGTAGCTGTAGCTGTTACACTAACAATTATTAAGACATCTGTTGGTACTGAATAGCTGGTGAGTCAGACTGTGATTAAATTCAAGGCCAGCAACATTTTCTAAGATGATTAGAAATGCTGAAAGAGAAAAAGGCCATGCCAGTTTTTTACCATGTCAGAAATGGTTTGATTCAGAAGAAACCAATGAAAATCCCTGGGACCTTCTGGGGTTTGTTCCACTGTGAAACCAGATATCGAACCCATCCTAGAAATAGTTTTTTGTGGACCATATAGTGCTCCAATGTTTGTGGGTAGGACTACTGCCTAAGTGGAAGGAAGACCAAATCATGGTATAGTTTTCCTTTAAGAGGAACAGTATTCTTTCTACATGGTCTGCAGTAAAGATCCATCTACTGCAAAAGACTTGGTATGCTGACTACAGTATCTTGCAAAGGATTTATTTTAAGTTCAAAGTTGAACTGCACTCACCTGGTTAGCAAAGTAACTACATGCTTGTAAAAAAGACTTTGCTCTGTCCTTCGTGGTAATATATTAGGATTTTGGAGTATTGTCTGTCTTTAGGGCTCCTAAAATCAAGTCTTTTTACATTCTCTTCTTGTTTGATGGTAAAATAAAACACCTTAGTGCTTTTTCATCTTATTCTTTACAGACTAGTTTTATCAAAGTTGTGACTTGTTTTTTGATGGTAGATACTTGGGCTTAACCTGGTATCACTGAGTTCACTGCGAGTTGACACTCAAAAAATAAGAGCTATTCTCTTGGTACCAATCTGTCTTCTTGGTGGTAAACAGAGTGAAGATTTTGCATTATTAATGTCTTTCTTTCTACTTCAGAAATATTTAAATAAAAGTATTAAGGCTTCAAAACCAGAAACGGTGAATCCATTGTGCCCCTGTATGGGATGGGTTGGTGTTGTTGGCCTCATTTACTGTGAGGCTAGTTCAGCTCAGTGTTTACTTGGCACTCTTCACCGTGAACTGGTGCTGGGCACCATCGTTTATATCTTTCGACAGCAGGTATTTATGCATTGCGTTCACTCTCTATGCTATCGTGGGAACCATTGGCTTTGAGCCATTTTTACCAGTGTGGAGTTTCTCACAGGGGGCTCACAAGACAGGGCTTCAAACCTAAAGCCCTTCTTTCTGGTGAGAAGCTATTGAACACGGCCTTTTTTTTCCCCCGTTTTGAAATTCTCACCATTGTAGGGCTTCAGCTGTCTTTCTTTATAGCTGGGAATTCCCAACACCTGATTCCCTGGATTTCTACACATCAATACAGGATGAGTATTGTGCACATCACATCACTGTGCACATCAATACAGGATGAATATAGTCAGATGAGTGTCCTTTGTATGCTTATGAGTGCTACCCACTGGTTTCTAATTCTGCAAATCAACATGTGGCATTCTTGCTGAATTGCCTGTAAAAGATCCTGTTCTGTGCTGTTTAGAAGATAATATGGCTCAACAGTAGGATGGCCAATTGTCCAGCAGTAATAGTCTTAAAGTGCCTTCACATCTCTGATTGTGCCTCTTTCTGTGTTTGTCTTCAGTGTGCGGTGATGTCCATGGGCAGTTCTTTGACCTTATGAAGCTGTTTGAAGTTGGGGGCTCACCAAACAACACACGCTATCTATTCCTGGGAGATTATGTGGACCGAGGATACTTCAGTATTGAGGTGAGTCAGCTTGTCCTCATTATGGGAGAGTTGAATGGGTGAAGAAGAAGTTTTGGTGGCCTGGTGTGTCTTCAGGTTTTCTTTTCAAATCTTATTGGCTTAATTGGAGTACTTGAACATTTTTCCTAAGCTTGACAGTTTTAAGATGTTGAACATTCCTGCAAGTGGCACAAGAATCAATTCAGGAATCAATAACTTATATATAACAATAAATGAAGAAAACTAGCTGAATCGCCTCTAAAGTTTTGATGCCTGAGTTCTGTTATGTTTTTTCCTGGTACAAAGGCATAGGTGTAATAAATCAGACTTGCACTTTTTTTTATCTAAATCCAATGTATAGTAGTCTGAAAGGGGCTTGAACGTGAATGGTGTTTTATGTTCATTTTGCTGGTGTCTGGGCTTTATCACATTCATAGATATTTTAATTTCCCAAAAACAGCTAATCAGAAAAAAGAAAAATATTTTGCTTGCAAGAATTCTTCTCTTGCAGACCCTTTACACACCACATCTTGACACACTCTGTTAACTTTTGAATAAATAATAAGGTCAAAAAAACTTTTATTCTTTATTTCTTTGCCTTCAGTTACTCTGATCAGTATCTAATATAGTATGAATAAATAATGGTGATTGTTTACTTAGTAGGAAGGAAAAGACCAAGTTAATTAAATGACTAATTAGACTCGATGTCCCATTACTTTACAAAGGAATGCAGGCATATTAGGGAAAGCGTTATAGATTAGTGCCTCTGGGCTCTGCTGAACTTTCTATCAAATCTCTGCATATTCCTGACACTGAGTGAAAGGAGGCCGTGTTTTTGTTGTGCTCTGAGTTATCCAATGTGGCATAGGACTTGCTAGGTGCCAGACTCTTCCATTCAAACACAAACGATTTTTATCTGAACCTACATTTTGTGTCTGTAATAAACTGTTCCAATGACAACAGTAGCAAAGCCTGTAATGTAGGATGAAGGACTCCATTTTTTGTGAATGTGTTTTACTTATTTTCATTTAGTATGTACAAGCTGATACATTGAGCTTTTTCCTGGTTTAAAGGTATCTTATTTTAATTCTATAGTAAAACTACATAGTTTGCTTATTATAAAATCACTATCTTCGTGTGTATGATATAAGCCTACAAAAACAGTGAATTGCTCAAAAGCTGTTACATATGGTTTGAATTAGGGAAATCCTTTCTTGAAGCCTTTGTCAGCTTTACAATGGGAGACTTTTGTAAATATTAACTAAAGCAGATCCAGTTAAAGAGTCAAAGAATGACATTAAAAATATCTGTTTAGCAGAAAGCTGTTCAAATATTTTTTATATTTTTGTCAACTGGCAGTTTTAACTCTGTGCAGACGCTTGTAGCAAAATAAAATGTGTAGTATTTTTTGTCAATGCGGGCGTTTGACTGGCAAGAGATTTCACTTATGAGTGCTACTCTGCAAACTACGCTGTAAGTACTGCATTTCAACCTTCCCTGCACATGTGGGGTAATATCTGCAATACAAAACCCTTGACGTATTTACATTTGCTGCAGTTACAGAGATAAGCTTCACATTGTTTTACAGTTATCGGAGATTGCTGATAATTATTCCTGCTTTTTAGTTCACAGAATTCACAAAGTTCTGTGAATCTCATTTGTTTCTCTGTGATAGAACTACTTCATGTTTTAAGTGCAGCATATTTTATCTTTTATTAGGAAAACGAATGCTTTGATCACTAAGTATGGTATAATTGTACTCGCTTTGCAGACTTTTTTTCTTTAGTCTTCTGGCACAGTTAAAAAATATTTTAAAGTTCCTTGATATGTTTTCAGGGATAGCACAATTGTGTTTTCGTGGGCTGCAACCTGTTCCACCTGGATCCCCCCTTACTTAGTTATGGTACTGGCACGTTAGTGTTTCTGTTCAGACCAACAAAAATCACAACTGCTGTCAGCTGAATAAAGGCCTTCCTTTGTATCACTGATGATCAGTAAATAAAAATGTTCAATTCAGATTCAAACCTAGAATCCTGTTGTCTCTACATTCTCAAGAATTATAAAAAAAAAATCAGCCTGTAAAGAAGCACTTCAACTCTTATCTCATGTGGAGCTCAGCAGCCAATCTGTTTTTCCTCTTGGCTTTCTGGTCTGTACAGCATTTTTCTACCTTGTTGTCAGGGTCATGCACCTAACAAAATGGGGTCTCGTTTCTCAGGAAATCGAAATCGCTTGTTCACAGGCAGGAGTCCGGACATGGAGTTTAGCCCTACTTTTATTTACTTCAGGCGTCTCCTTGCACTTTTCTTCATGCTCCTGGTTGCCAGGCAACCTTTAGGAATTACTCACTGTAAGATGCCATCGAAGAGTGTTTAGAAACTGATCAGCATACAGATGATACGTTTAATGGATTGTGAAAATGTGGAAACTTAATTTGTAGTGGATATTGAGCATGAAAAGAAACTATAACCTATGAAAATGACCTTTATTGTATCAGTTATGCTAATGTATTAATGAACAAAACATGACAAGTGTAAAGATTTGTCATTTGTCATCAATAGGGATGACACTATCAAATGGGTATCTACAGTGAAAGCCCATAGACCTGTTGTTAGTGGTTTATTAGTGGCAACATTTGAAAGCAATACAGGTCGTACATCCTATGACTCATGCTTTGCTCCAGTTACCTGTGTTGTGTGATCCATGCCATTCCTCCCATTCCTTGTCCCATTGACTGGATAAGCAGGTGCCTGTTCTCTAGTGAGAAATTTTCTCTGAACCCTGAAGGCCACATCATCTCAATTCGTCCTGCAAATACTTAGAATGGCTCATCATGGCAGGTTGGACAGTTTGGGATAGGCAGAAAGGTCCCAGGGTTTAAAAAATGAAATACCCTGCAGTCAGGTTGCCATCAATCATTAGAAGAGGAGTTTTGAGTGACTAGAACCTGCTGCACATACCACACTTGGACCTGTCCATCAATTTGTCTGATGTACGCAACAATTAGCGTATCGTGTTGCATGTCTGCACTACACTTGCTGAAGTCCATCAGATTGGTCTTAGCATCCTGTATATTCCTTGTTCTGTGGAAGTGATCGACAATTGTTAGAACTAGGCCCATTTGTGTTGACATTTTGCCTGTATTTGATTAGTCTTGAGTTGCCTCTTAACAGTGGAACTGCTGATTTGTGTGTTGTGGTAACCTGGGATTTCTGATGAGGCAGAACTAGCAGTTTGAAAAACTAATTGTGAAGGTGGAATTCGATGGTGTGTCAAACTTTGTCTCTCAGGCTCTGGCATGTCATTTATACTCTTTGGCTGTAATGTTTTGCCAGGTTATTTGCCAAGACATTGCTGGGTATGAACACCTCAGATGGTGTAAGCCTACAGTACTCTGGCTTAGTCCAACCTCCAACACACTAATGGCAAGAAGGCATGTTTCTCTTGCTGTTGGTTGTTTTCTTGATTTTCATCAGGCTTTTTGACAGGTCAATTCAACTTGCCTTCTGTGCCCAGTCATCACTCCTACTGATTGATAGATAAATAGATAATACTTTATTAATCCCGTGTGGAAATTGGGAAATTGATGATTAGGTGGAGCAGTGTCACTTGAGGGTCACTTGATCAATAAAGCAAAATTATGCCAAAGCAGTTAATCAATATACAAAATCAGTACACTTTTCAGTAATAATTAGTCTTGAGAAATACATTATATCATTTCGCCTTTTCCCCCCAAACTAATTAAAATAACTACTTTTTTTCTTTCCATAGTTAACATCTTAACAGCTTTCTTTACAATGGCAAATTTAAGCCTCACACTTTTGATCTCTTCTATATTGTGCATCGTTCCATTAAGAAAAGGGAGTGGGGGAGCAAGGTACTTTATTATTTAAAGACCAAACTTCTGTACTCGAACAGCCAGAAACCCAGGCCCACTGTGGCCTTTCCTTTAGAAGTCAGATTCTGAGAGATCAGATTAAATAATGTAGTACAGTTTAAATTAGCCCTGGGGTGAGTGAGGAATGAAAGTGCCTGGCTTTAACTCCCAGCTGGAGCTCGGGGCTCCAGGCAGCACCTCTGTCAAAGCATTGATCTCCAGCTCCGCCAGGAGGTCTTTGATTAGCGAGCACAGGGAACCCGTCCAAATGTCACACATGAAAGGGCATGTGTGAAAGAGCAAATAGGGCTGAGACGGGAGATTGTTCTGTGGCAGAAAGGCACTCAAGTGATCAAAATGCCCCTTTATCCACTCAGTGGAGTCCAGCGTGTCTGCTTTTGGAACGCCATGGGGTTGTGTCCGCCGAGGCCCTTCATGCCCTGAGCTCCATCCAGCTACCCGTCAGCTGATGTCATTCAGAAGAGGGCGTTGACAGCCACTGTCTCCTTGACCCCTCAAGCCCAGTTTAAAGTGGAGGCCTATAACTGTCCACAAGAAAGGTCTCCTCCACAATCACTGTATTCTCAGTTTCATACAGTATGTGCATATAATGAGCAGGAGGTATTTGCAGTATTTCTGTACTTAGAAAATAATGATATCTAACTGGAGCTAAATATGTGTATTGAACCTTCCCATACTTCTACTTAGCACCTTCACAACGTTTGTATTCAGACTTCAAGGAGATAAATCAGAGATGTTATGTCAAATCAGAAATTTTATGACTTGGTTAAACTTTTCTTACAGAATGATTTGATTCTATATAAATATCTCAGCTCTTTTCCGCCTCTTTATTTTAAAATTACACAAAATTGTTTTATTCTTCTAAATGACTTTGTTTGCCTCTCTTATTGTACTGGGACACAGGTATGTGCATCCATTTATTATTGAAGTACATAACTGTAAGTACATTAAGTACATTTAATCAGGTGTACATTAATTCTTCAAAAGTTAAAATGTATTGTTAACAAAGCTTGCCGTCTGATGCGTGTCAAATTACTGTGGTAGTGAGCTAGCTCTCTTGATGCACATGACTGAGACTAGAAAATCCTAAGAGAGTAGGTACATGGTGAAAGCTGGGCTTTGT